CAACTAGAAGAGCGAGTTGTCTCAGTCACATCAGAAATAACCTTCGTGATGCCTTGAGTATGAATGTGAATGTTCTTGAGCTCAAAAGAAGGGGGGAAAGTGCCTACAAATCATTAGAAGAAAATAGAGGAGAAAAAAAAAACTGTCCATTGAGGGTAAGAAAGGGCTTTTTAAAGAGACAAAATGCAAATACCAAATACAAAAAAAGGCAAAGTTTGACAAGTTTCACTAAACTAGAAATCTTCTATACAAGCTATCTTAAAAACAAGTAATAAAATGAAAAAAAAAAAGTACAAAATACGTGTGAAAGACTATCATCCAAAAAAACATAGCAGTCTGGGGCCAACAGATGGCGTAGTGGTTAAGGTGCTGGACTCTCACATGGCCGATCAGGGTTTGAGTCCCAGATCTGGTAGCTTGCTTTCTCACTTTCCCTTTTTTTTTTTTTTCTCTGTGTCTCTCTGGTGAGTGCACATGCCCTATAGCATTTTTTTAAAATGATAATAATAATAAATTAAATAATTCTTTAAAAAGAAAAACATAGAAATCTACACATCAGCAAAAATGGCACCAAAGGTGAAAAGAGAAACAAGACCTGTGAGAAACAGGTATAAATAAGAAATGTATAAGACAGGAAATAAGAGACGTTAGACACACATGAAAAAGGCTCAGCCTTATCGAGAACTGGAAGGAACACTGAAACAATGAGATACAGCTTTCCAAGCATTAGCGGGAAAGGTTGGAGAGCTGAGAAACTGCAGGGGGCGCTGCAGGTGGGAAATGGCCTCTCTCGCCCTCTGCTGGCGGATGGGTACACAGCCCAGCACTTGCAACGGGCGCCAGGGCAGTGACTACGGAAATTAAAATGCCTATTCCCCTGGGGCCAACAGGTGGCCTCGAGGTAAAGGGGCTGGACTCCCGTAGCCAACTGTGGTTCAAGCTTCGGACTCGGCAGCTTGAAAATCACACCGGGCATGTGTGCGTGCATGCCCAAAACCACAAGAAGAAAATGGAGAAGGGATTGTGGCGTGGACATCTCCATGGGGGAGATTTCTCACTTTCCCTCTCTCTGAATCTTTCTCCAGCCTCTCTAGCAAGTGCATGCCCCCGTGCACTTCCCTCCCCAGCTCTGCACTCCTGACTTTTGAAAACATCCACTTGTGTATATGAACGAGTAGGTACAAGGCTCTCCCTTACTTGTACAGTAATTGGTAAAAACCTAGAACATGCTTCTAGCCCCCCAAGGAAGACATGGCTAAACAAACCCCGGCACGCCTGTTCTGAGAAATACTACACAACAATCAAAAGGAGCAAATGGATTCTAAACACGTGCTCCCTAAAACACAGGGGGTGAACAAAACCGTGCCTACAATGGGATTCTGCTGATACAACCCATAAAGGGAAGAACACATGAAAATGTATTCCCAGGGGGTGTACAAGTGACAGGTCAGCTAAAGTCCCTCTTTATCTAAGAGCCTCTTGTGGCGTTCAGTCTCTTTCTGCCATGTTTGCATATAACTCTTTTTTCTTTAAATTTTGCCACGGGGTATGCACACTCACTGGAGGGAGAGAAAGAAGTGAGAAAGCCCCTCCCCTGGGCGATGACCACACCGCAATCCCATCACCCGCCTGTCAGGGTTTGGGGCACACAAGCACGTGCACCCAGTGTGCTTCCTTTTCTGTTGTTTTTAAGGTTTTTATCAGAGGGCGTGTGCTTGCTGGAGAGACAGACAGTGAGAGGGAAGTGAGATATCAGCCCACAGAGGAGATGGCCATGCCATGATGCTTTTTCCATCCCCTTGGGATTTGGAGCACACGCATATACCTGACGTGAGTCTCAAGCCCATGGGTCCGAGACTCGAACCATGTCAGCCATGTGAGCATCCAGTGCTTAACCACTGCACCATCTGCTGCCCCTCCCTCGTGTGTTGCTTAAGCTGCCAAATCTGGGCCTTGAACCATGCAGTCATGTGAGATCCACCTTCCCTGCTACCATGACACTGGATGGCCCTGCATATTACTAAGTTTAAAAAAAAAAAGAAAAGAAATTAAAAGAAAGCCTGGCTTTCCTTCCCGTAGGCCCTGGTGGATGCTGTCGAAATGGGCAAGTTCGTGAAACCCGAGAAAGTGGTGCTGAGCCGTCACCATGAAGAACATTGATGGCACCTCAGATGGCCCCTACAGCCACGAGAGCATGGCTGGAACTGACCACTACCCCGCAAAGCGACAGCTGCCATGGGCAAGAAGAAAATCGCCAAGGGTCAAAGATGAAGTCTTTTGTGCAGTCACCTCATGCCCACAGGGTACTCCGTGTATTCCCTTGGACAAAACTGTGGTCAACAAGGACGTCTTCAGAGACCCTGCTCTTACACGCAAGGCCCGGTGGGAGGCAAGGGTCAAGTTCAAAGAGAGGTACAAGACAGGCAAGAACAAGTGGGTCTTCCAGAAGCTGCGGTTTTAGATGTTTTATGTTTCAGTCATTAAAAAGATGGGAGGAAAAAAAAGAAAGAAAAGAAAACCTGATTTTGAGGCCAGCAGGTGGCATGGCAGTAAAGGTGCTGGACTCCCACGTGTTCAGGTCTCGGACCTGACAACTTGCTTTCTCACTTTCTCTGTCTTTCGCCAGTCAAATTAAATAATAATAATAATAATAAATTAAATCAATAAATCTTTTTTTAAAACCTGATTATAAAGTTACTTATAAAGCTTCCCAAGGACATATTTTAAGTAAAGAAATGGAACACCACCACATATAGCGTACATGTAGGTATGAGAATACACACCGAAACCAGACTGGATTTTCGTTTCTACGTATGTACCTGAATACACCACAACAGCCCTGAAGGATGCCACTTGCCAACGGGTATACGAAGAGGCAGGTCAGAAAGACATCATTGAGGGACCAGCAGATGGCATAATGGTTATGTCGCTGGACTCCCATATAATCAACCAGGGTTCAAGTCCCAGACCTGGTGGCTTAAAGCTCACGCCAGGTATGCATGCGTGCCAAGATCCTGGGAGGAGAATGGAGGAGAAGAGACTGGTGTGGCCATCCACCCCGGACGATGACTTCTCACTTTTTGTCTCTCTAGTTCTCTCTGTTTGTCTCTATAGCAAGCACACGTGCCCTATAGCAAAAATCTCTCTCTAAAAAAAAGAAAAGAAAGACATCATTGTAAAAACGAGGAAGGGCTTACAAGGAAATCACAAAGTTTAAAAACTAAAGTGAAAGAGGGTCAAAATAAGAAAGTACACATGTATTTCAACTAAGAGAAGTGAGAGGATAATACTGGTAGACCTCGTATCATTTTCTAATTTATACAAACTTTATTCAAATATCACACTTTTGTACCATAAGAATATGTTTATTTTGCAAGTGTTTTTTTTTTTAAATATTTCAGCCCCAATTCCCCCACATGGTTACATTACCATATCTTTTTCTATACTCTTTAAACATTAGACACAGAGTTTGCTAGAAGCTGAAAGGGAAAAACACATCCTTTCTGCTGAATACTATCACATTGTATTTAAGTTAAAGATTATTAACTTTATAAATATCCAGACTTGAAGCTTTTGGGAGTCACATTTATTTGGAGGTCCGAAATAGCCCTGAGGTCTACATAGGAAAATATCTTTTATAAACTGTAACAAAACTCTCACCTCAAAATAAAACACTATGAGATTTATACAATTACATCCATATGCAACGTCTTTACAATTCCAGAAACTGAGTAGATTTTTAGAAATGACAATAAAAATAGCTTTACATTCAGAAAACGGAGCGTATGCTGAGATCACGTGAGGGGAACCCGCCCTCTGCAGAGTCTGCCCCCTCTCCAGCACCCCTTTATTAAAGTCACAGACCCCGGGAACCGCAAGAAGACTGTGAGGGAATTCCAGTCAGATCAGCTCTGACTGCTCACCCGAATGGGGACATGACTCGGATTCCTAAGGACACCTGCGGGCTCCCGGGTTGTACCCAGGTTTCCTAGCACAAACGCCCTGAAACTCTCCACCAAGGGCGTCCCTCCTTGCACAGCTTCTGGAACTTCTCAAACGCTGGCATTAAGGCATCCCCTTACTATCTCCAAAACTCCATAATAAGAGTAAGATCAGCACAGCCCCATCTGGGATGGTGCCTTCCCTCCACGCTTTCTGAAACAGCAGCGGGACGTCGCTGAGACAGAGCGCTGCAGTTTCCCTCCACGCCAAGTCCAGCTGAGCGTGACGGCGCACCTGCAACCCCAGCTGCTCCGGAGGCTAAGGCAGGGAGACCACAGTTTCAAGCATCACCACGGTGAGACCCTGTCTCCCAAACCAAACCAAACAAACGGTGATCCACGCGCCTGATCCTCAGGCCAACTTAGGAAATCCCAGAGCCCCATCCAGTAAACTGATTCTCATGGATATGCCTGGTGCCAAATGGCAGGGGATTTGGCCTCCACACTGCGCCAGACCCCCGGTGGAGATCTACTCCTCGGGGAGCTGGGCCCTTTGTGCAGACAACATACAGCAAAGGCAGAGAGGTGACCCCGAGCCGGCCAAAGAGGTTCTCTGCGAACCTCCTTAGTCGGCAGCATTTCGCTATAAAATGCCAAGGATTGTGACAACCCTAGCCCAGCTGCGCGTCCCACATGGAGTGCTCCTGGGGGTCCCTGGCCGTGTGATCCTGCACCATTGAAACAGGTCACGTGGATGTTCCCTGTGGGAGCACAGCAAGGTCACAGCATCAGTCCGTGCAAGAACAAGGCCGGTCTCCCGTCAGCTCACACGTGTGTGTGTGTGTGTGTGTGTGTGTGAATGCACTGGCACACACACTCACACCCTACGGTATGCTGCCATAGGCATGACCTGCTGTCTAGCAGCCAGGCTTCCTCCAGAAGTCTCGTTTGAGGTGGGTCCCAGGAAGGGCATCAGGAACACAGACTTGGCATTCCACTGAGTAGTTAAAAATTAGTGCCATCGACCCAGGTAGTGTTTTGGGTTTTCCTGTTCTTTTCAAAAAAAAAAAAAAAAACACCTCCAGAGAGGAATTGTTTTCCCACTTACTTAAAATGTTAATGAAGAAACGTGTGAATTCCAGGGCACAGGAATGAGAAACTACACAGTTTCATAAAACAAGTTCTAAATGCATCCAGAGGCCTGAGACGGGCGGCAGTTCCAGTTCTCTGCACTCAGGGTCTCGCCCGCCACACCAGGGCAGCAACCTCCCCAGCCCAGCCAGCCCAGGAGCTGTCGCAGCATGCCCTGGCTGTGTTTCAAGGCTCCTCCGTGATAAATATTCTGCTCTCCCTCCCCTTAGAAGGCTGAGGGTGATGGAGCCCACAGGGGTGCAAGGGTGGATTCCAGACTCTGCAGTTACCTGCATGGGAGGACAAGGGTCCTGAGCAAACACTGGGAAGCATGTGACAAGTGCCACTGCCCTAAATACTGTCAAAGAGAAAGCACTGTTCAGAGAATTTGCCTAGGAGTACACTCAGCGCCCGCCAGCTGACTGCCGCGGAGGGGAGTGACCACATGGTGCCGGGATGGGGGATGAGCCAGCTGATCTCGGGGTGCTGGGGGAGGAAGCGTCACATCGGGGGTGCGGCTCGGTTGCAGGGCAGACTCAGACACCAAAAACAGGCAGAGAAGTCTGTCTCCTCTCAGCAGCGTGGGCAGCAGGGACTCCAGCTGCACGGCAGGCTGCAGGCCCACGGCACCCACTCCTCGGTCGGGCTCCTGGGCTTCCTCGGTGGCACGCATTTCTTCATGACGGTGCAATTCTTCCCCACACCTGGAAATAGCTCTGCATCCATTACAGATGTGTCTCCCCAGCCCCCGCCGGCTTCTGTGTCAGCACAATAGCCTCATCTGTGCAGTAGAGACCACTGCCCCAGCAGGGAAGGGGGCAGGGGGTAGTCTGGCCCGGCCTTCTGCACCCACAAGTCTCCTTTCCAGCTGCTCCAAGCGTCCATCTCAGAAGACGATGATACTGCGGTTCTGACAGTCACTTTCCTGAGCAGGTGGCCGGGAGGAGCTGCCCAGGTGAAAGGTCCCTAGCGTCAGGACCCTGCTCCTTGAGGGAGGCCTCGTGCACAGCCAGGGCCCATGCAGGGGGCCCCAGCAGCCTGCTCCTTCCTGCAAGCCCAGTGCAGCTGACAGAGGAGCTCTAATCACGTCAGCAGGCCACACGCCATCGTCCTGTCCACGTTCTCCACATCGGACTGGACTGCACTCCACCAATGGCCCCTGCTTCAGGGATGGGGGTCTCAGCACAGGGTTCACAGCCATGGTGGGTGCTCAGATCACTACGACTTCACACCCCCGCAAGGCCTTTCAGCTGCCGGAGTCCCCACTCACCAACAGCGGGGTCTCCCCCAGGGGCAGGCCCAGGCAGCTCACCCGCCCCAGTCAGCAGCGTCAGCCCCGGCTCTAAATCGCCCCTCCTGTTCAGCTGAATCATAACATGTGCAAACACCAAACAGGATTCAAGCAGACTCCCACGTCCCCCTAGCTCTATTTATGTATAAATCCCTGAGAAGGTACCTGTCAACGGGAACTTCACTATGTACAGTTAATACACGCCAGGGCTGGCACTGACACCTGAGCACCCCGGGAAGCAGGGCCTGAGCTGCCACCAGTCGGGAGGGCGACCCAGGGCTCCTTCCAGAAACAAGGTGCGTGTGTGCGTGTGTGTGTGTAGGGGGACGGGGCAGGGCTGAGAGGCCACGGCCCTTCAGTCCCCCCTGGGGATCGGGCCATCAGGAGATGACCACTTGGCAGGAATGTCCTCTTGCCTTTCGAGAGGCCCTTGCTTTGCTTCCCTTTTTAGCCCTCAGGGGAGGTGGCGCCGAGGATGGTGGGATTACCCCAAACAGGAGAGATCGGAAAAGGAAGTAAAGGCAACAGAGGAAAACGAGGGGAGGCAGAGGGGGTGGCCAGGGACGATGTGGGGACAAGGCTGGAGGGAACACAGTGGTGGCCGCCTACACAGGAGAAGGGGGCCCTGCCCATCCCCCTCCGTGAATGACACGGGGGTGTAAGTAAGTGAGTAAATGTACCTGGGCAAAGCCAATAAACTACTCAGGAGTAAAACGTCCTCACTGGACAGCAGACTGAACTGTCAGGGACACAGGGGTGCGACCCTCCACCTTGGGGACCAAGCAGCCATTCTTCCCTGACAAATCCTTTACCCAGAAGAGGTGAATTCAGTAATGGGTTCAGATCCCAGACCAGCCTGAACGGGCTGGTGGCAGGACCCCAGAGAACCAAGGAGCTGGGCAGAGAGGACAGCCAGGACGAAGCCTCCCCTGTCTCTCCTTCCTCTCTGTCCTCCTCTTCCTGAGGATGGGCTCTTCCCAGGGAGAAGCAGAGGTCAGCCCCCCCTTCTCCTCCCCTTGCTGCCGCCAGACAAGTGCGGGAATAGGGGTGGGCTCACTCAGGTCTTCCGCCTGCTCCCACAACCTCACCAGCCTGAGAGAGGAACAACACCACGGCCACCCTCAGAAGCATCTGGACTGCTCCTGACACCCTGCCCTCGATCTCGCACTCCCCACTTTGGAGTGGGCAGCCCCCTCCAAGGAGAAAGAGAACACAGGAGGAAAAGCCCCCACTGGCGGCTGCCCACACAAGGCTAAGAGGAAAAGGCTGGGCCAGCTCGTCATGAGCAGCCGAGACTGCCCAGACCCCCAAGACCAAACGCAAAGGCTCATGAAAGCAGGCCCTAGCTGTCACGCAGGTTTGCAGAGGGACTGGTGAGAGTTCCCACCCCATTCTGGACCCTCCCTACACCTGGGTCTCATGGGTTCTCGCAGCCGAATGCTTCTCTAGGCCCACACCGAAGCCCCCAGAAGAGCTGCATCCACCCTCCACGCCCAAGCGCCTCTGCGAGTCTACAAGTCCCTCACACTGCACGTGCCGGCCGGTGGACAGAGCCTCTGCTCAGCAGGGCAGGGCGAGGCTCACCTTCAGATCTGCCAGAGGAGCCCCTGGCCTGGCCACACTTGCTGCCTGGGCAGCCTTCTTTAAAATGTGGGCATGTCCAGAGCGGTTTTGCAGACACCAAGAGCTGGCCCTAGCCTGGCCTGTGTGCTTGCAGGGGAAGATGCAGGGGAAGGGCCCACTCGCCCACTGCTGCCAGACCACTGGGATGGGAAGAAACAGCCAGGCTTCCTGCCATCATGCTAACGCCCCTGATGTTCCAAGCTTAACTGCAGATTCTGAGATTACGTGTGGTGAGGTAGAGGGCCAGCCAAGACAGACACGCACAGAGAGGCAGAGAAAGCTCAGGGTGGCAGTGGGGGCTCCATACTGCCCCACTGCAGATCTCCCACAGTGACAGCGGGCAGGAATACTTGACAATCCACTGAAGGCCTGATGGCAAGTGTGCAAGCAGAGGGGGCCTAACACTGGCTGTTACAACAACGAGACGTTCTGACAAGGTGAGCCCTTTGGGGGAGCTCAGGATGGGCATCCGGGAAGAGCCACTGGATGGGCAATGAAGGCCGCCCCCAATCCCTGTGTGCTACGACTGCAGTTCTCGACGCTGGCTCACGAGGCCACCTGGCGGCTGTAGAAGGGTTCTAGGGCACAGCTCCCTAGTTGTGAGAACCTCCAGGAGGGGCAGAGGCTGAAGTCATGAAAGCTGCCAGGGGTTCTCGTGGCGGCCCGCGCCAAGAACTGTGGATCAAAGACCATTTGGCACTGCCCGAGTCCATGCTTACAAGAGACGAGGGTGGCCCAGTGCCAAGTGTGCGGATGGCATGAATTACGTGCACACAGCAAGAAGGTGCTACAATGCCAGGGACAGAAAAAAGATGGCCTCCGAAGACAGCCAGGGCTGGTCACAGCTCTTTTCTCCTCCAAGGGGACATGGCCAATCCCAACTCCTAGGCTGTGAGGGTGACCCGCACCAGCTAAAATCAGCAGTTCTCAGAAAGGGCCCAGACCGTGGTGTGATCATCTTGGCGCCTCTCGGAGTACAGAGGCACTCGCTCCCATCTGATGTCCCACCTGGTCGTCACGCCAACCTCCCACTCGCCTGGGCACAGCCTGGCTAATGAGATCTCGGAGAGGTAAGTGTGAGATCCTGACTGCTGGAAGCCCACAGTGCCGAGTGGGGGGGGGGGACCGCCAGTGCCACTCCCAACCCCAGCATGACACGGGCAGGCACATAACACAACATACCAAGGGCTATATGAAGAGGCTCCAAATCTACAGCTTCTAGGTATTTAAATTAAATCCTTAAATAAAGTGCATATATGACAGATATTCCATAATCCAGATGGCCAGGGATTCATTAGAATTTCTCACTGCTTTGGAGATAAAAGCGTGGACACAAAACTCCCACTGACAGCTTTGGGGCCCAAGGCAAAACACATATGTGTCCCACCAAAGCCCCCACATCTTGGGAATCCTACAAAGTCCACATGAGGATGAGCCAAACACCAAGGACATCATCAAAGGGAAAAGGAACATTCTGTCCACACAGGGGAATCTTTGGGATGGAGGCTGGGGACAGGGGCGGCTCAGGGCACTCCAGGAGAATTTGCCTAAAACAAGTTTGCTTAACAGTCCACGCTAGTCTGCAGTCATGAGTCAGCCTTCCCACGCAGCCGTGCGTACCCGTGCGTTCGGGTGCCTTACTCTTTCTGCATCTTTTTTTATTTTTTTATTTTTTTTTACATTTTAAGGACACCTGGGCCCAATGTATCTAAGAGCATATACGACTTAACTTTGCATTTCTTGCAATCATTTAAGCGTGCCTCCATTTTATTAAATGATGGCTTTTTTCCACTCGCCTCTATTTTTAATTGGTTAAACCTTTTGTATCCAGTCCCTCCCTTTATCCAAAGTCCGTTGCTTAAAATGAGTTTAGTTCTAGCAATAAAGACATGTCTCTGCCCGCACCGTTTCATAACTGGACAATAGAGTGGTTATTGTTACAACTGGGCAAGAGATGTAAAAAGAAGGTACAGTGGCACCTGACCCCTCAGTGTCCCTGAGCATCTGGCCATAAAAGCCAGCATGCCTTCCTCAGGCAGAAATACACACCAGGCGCCGCGAGCTGAACCAGCAAGAACAGGCAGTGCACCTGCCAGGGGCTGGGAAGGCGAAAACCAAAGCAGCGAACTGGCCGAGTCTCAGAGCTCGCAGTGAACTCCTGCAGGTATCACTAAGATTTATTGCTAGAAACCGTATTTAAACAAAGGGTCTTCAGACGAATGTATGAAAACTGCCTGAAATACAAAGAGCCCCATCACTCAGAAAATGCTGCAAATTTGGTAAATAATAACTAAAAATACAAAACTGCACAGAAAACGCCCTTTGATAAATTGGTCTAAAAACTTAATTGAGGTTCTCTAAAGGAAGACTTCAGGTGAACTGTCACCAGGTGTACTGATCACTAAGGAACTGGTTTTAGGCAAATAAATTTGTGGTGTCCCCAGCTCCCAGCCCGAGCACACAACACAGAAATGCTTTCTGGATTCCCGGACAGAAGATCGCCCAGCGCGACTGCAAAGCCGGGCGCACAGGGCCCCGGGCAGGTGCGTCCTGGTCCGCGCGGCGGCGCCGCCACCCAGCTGGGCTCAGTGAACGCGCAGCCGCCCTGGCCGGGCACTGGCCGGGCACTGGCCGGGCACCTGCCCTGCGCCACCTGCCCCTTCACGTCCGTTTCTTCCAGCGCGGCGGCCGCTTTTCCTTCTGCGCCTCTGCCTGGCGCTTCCTCTCCGCCTCCTCCGCCTTCCTCTTCTCCTCCTTGGCCTCCTTGTACCTCCACTTGGGGATCTGCAGGTGGGTGCTGTCCTTGGTGCTGCCCTTCCTGGACGCCCGCTCCGGCTGGAAGGTGGGCGCCGGCGCCTTGCTGACGCGGACCCTGGGGATGACCACGCCGGGCCGCACGCTGCTCCGCCGGAGGAAAGGCAGCGGGAGCGGCAGCAGGCTGGTCTTCCAGGAGGTGCGGGCGGGCGCCTGGGCCCCCGGCAGCGGGGCAGACGGCAGGCCCTCTTCAGAGCCCTGGGATACCTGGAAGGTCCGGAACCGCTGCTCAGCGCCTTCTCCCTTGCCCCCTTCCTGGGCATCGGTGTCCTGGTCCTCCTGAGCCGCAAGGATCTCCTGCACCGCCAGGCGCCTTTTCCCCACGCAAGGGGGGTTCTCCGGGCACACGGTCTGGCAGATGACGGCCACAGCGGGGCTGTAGAGGCTGGTGGTCATCCTGACCATGAGGTCCAGAGCGCCTCCATCCTCCGGGCCCTGGCCCAGGGAACGCGGGGTCAGCGCAGAGCGCACACACTCCGTGAGCCGCTGCAAGCAGTTCCTGGAGCCTGCAGGCTTCGGGACTGCCTCGGCCACGGACGGCAGCTCCAGTTTGTACTTGTCCCCGAACTGCTCCGGGCAGGGTCGCTCCAGCAGCCTCTGCATGATGCGGACCGCCTCCAGCCGACCCGTGAAGGCGGCCCACTCCTGGGGTGACAACCCACGGCGGGAGTCCCTGGCGTGGATATCGGCCCCTGCAAAACGGAGAACGGGAGTGGGTCACTGAGCGAGAGCTTGTCCCACTGCACTGTTCAGGCAAGCCTGACCCCTGAGCTTGTCCCAACCCTGCCTCTGCTCACCTACCTCGCCCTTGGCCACACAATCCACCACTCTGAAGGAAAACCCTCCTGGTACTGTCCCATGGCCTGGTGGTTAGGGCAGTGGATCCCTTGACTGACCTCACAATTCCAATCGCCACCCCTGCAGCACGAAAAGCATGCCAGGTGCATGTGCCTGCATGCCCCAAATCCCTACAGGATGGAGCAAGGAGGGATTGCAGTGCCCCTGGGGAAAGGCTGTTTTCTCTCCCACTCTCTGGCTCTCTTGTCTCTCTCTCTAGAAAGTGCATGAATCCTCTGGCAAGATTTAAAAACAAAACAAAACAAAAACCCTGAATTTAGCACCTAAGTCACAGAACTTTTTATTATGATAGAGTATGTACATGAGAGAGAGAGCCCTCCACCCGGTCTTGCATTGCAATCCCCTTTCCCAGCTCTCTAGCTCCCCAGGACCCAGGGTGCCTGCATGTGCCCTTCATGTTTTCAAGCCTCCACTCAACCCCGCCCCCGGGATCTGAACCTGAGGCTGGTGTGTGGCTTCCATCCCTGCAGTCCAGCAGCCACTCACTGCACCCCTAGGCTGGATCAGAATCACAATTTTTATAATAAGTTTGCTATAGAGCGCATGTGTTTGCTGGAGACACAGAGACAGAGAGAGAAAGTGAGAAATCACCCTCCGAAGGCATGGCAATGCTGCAATATCTTCTCCAGTCTCCTCTCAGGATTTTGGGCACCCCTCCCCCAACACACACACACACACACACACACACACACACACCCAGCATAATTTTCAAGCCACTGGGTCTAGGAATCAAACCCCTCAGTCAGCCCCGTGAGGTCCAGCTGCCCTGATCTCTGCATCATCTCCTGGCCTAATCTTTTTTTAATGACATAGTAGCCCATGGCCTTCCAACTAGACGTTTTTAATGCTTTAAAAATGCCAGTAGTAAAGTCACCTGCACAGTACGAGGTGCCCGTCTCTCTGACACCTGCCTTTGAGGGCTGCTGTGGCCCTCTGCTGTGGGACACGGTGCTTCGCTCCCTACGCCCTGTTCACGGGTCTGCTGCAGCTACCAGACAGCAGGCTTCTCCAGCACAGGCCGGCCTGGACTCGTTTCTGTCTCAGCACATCTAGTCCTCGTGGGCTCGCGGCACGCTTTTTTATTTTTTATTTTTTTCAGGCAGTGTCTCAATCCCCCTGCCTCAGCCTCCCAAATTGCTGGGATTACAGGCATTTAACAAAGCACCCCTCCCCCAACACACACACACACACACACACACACACACACACCCAGCATAATTTTCAAGCCACTGGGTCTAGGAATCAAACCCCTCAGTCAGCCCCGTGAGGTCCAGCTGCCCTGATCTCTGCATCATCTCCTGGCCTAATCTTTTTTTAATGACATAGTAGCCCATGGCCTTCCAACTAGACGTTTTTAATGCTTTAAAAATGCCAGTAGTAAAGTCACCTGCACAGTACGAGGTGCCCGTCTCTCTGACACCTGCCTTTGAGGGCTGCTGTGGCCCTCTGCTGTGGGACACGGTGCTTCGCTCCCTACGCCCTGTTCACGGGTCTGCTGCAGCTACCAGACAGCAGGCTTCTCCAGCACAGGCCGGCCTGGACTCGTTTCTGTCTCAGCACATCTAGTCCTCGTGGGCTCGCGGCACGCTTTTTTATTTTTTATTTTTTTCAGGCAGTGTCTCAATCCCCCTGCCTCAGCCTCCCAAATTGCTGGGATTACAGGCATTTAACAAAGGGCCATTACAAAATAAATGGCAGTCACAGCTGGTAACAAAAATCAGGTGTCCGCCATGGGTCTCCTGGCCTCAGCCCAACGTCCTTCCCACCCCGCGGGGCAGGTCGAATGGCTGGTTTTCGTTTTGCATCAACTAAGGGAGAGGACCCAGTGAATTAATCAGATGCCAATCCCCATGTCGCCATGAAGGCACTCTGTAGCTGCTGACCTTCCCGTCACACAGAATATCTCCATAATGTGGGTGGGCCTCATCTAACCCGTGGATGGACTGAAGAGGAAAGGCTGAGGTTTCCAGGAGAGGAAATTCCAACCCAGCAGCACCAACTCCTGCCTGCCTTCCCAGCCCGCAGGCCTGCCCTGCAGACTGTAGACGTCCCGCAATCTCTCAGGCCAGTTCCTGAAACCATCTTGTTATACATACATCCTACTGGTCCCGTTGCTCTGGAAAGCCTGGATGATCTACCCCCAGTCACTTGCTTAGTAAATCTCCTCATACCACCCACTGCTCCCCGAGTAGTGCCAAGTTAAACTTCAGCTCACCTGGGAGAAATCTGTGTAAATTGCAACTTGGTGCTATAGTATTAATGCAATTGCTTTTCAGCTCACCGTGGTCGTGCCTCAGCCCCACAATAAAGCTAAAAACCATCTAGGATTCCAAGCGCCATCAGTCGTACTTCCACGGCAAAGCGATGTGGAGAACTAGGGCAATTATCTAGTCTGCGAGCTCCCTGGAGGGCACCTGGCAGAGGCTGCTTCCCTTCTGCCCACACGGCCCCAGGTGTCTGACACGCAGAGCTCAACTGAGAGGAGGGGGCCCCGCCGCGCCCCTGCCCCGCCATTCTACTGTGGCCCTGTGGCTCAGAAGGGCCCGGCTCACATGAGCTGGCCTAGGAAAGGTCTTCAGTCTGTGACACTTTAAAGAATTGCCATCTGAGAAGAGGGGTAATTATTTGGAACTGGAAATCGGCATGGAACTCATTAGCTGGAGCACAATTTATAAACTGACTGAAATGAAAAGGGGGCAGTAAAAATGTCACTGCAAAAAATAGATGACACATTAAACCTTAATTAATTGCATGTCACTTAAAAAAGGAACAAACTGCAGAATTAAAATCTTAATGAACACTGCTTGAAAGAGACATTTTTCAAATGCTAATGGGAAACTAAAGGAACAGCTGTCCGGTTTCCACTCCCGTTCCTGCTGTTCTCCTACCTTTGCAAAACATCCTCGGAAAACATCAACACTAATGAACACAGGCCACTCGCTGCCGTGCAGCCTGGACGAATCGTGCTCTAAAGGAGGGGCCCACCTCCTCAAGAAACTGCCGTCAGGCCAACGTGTGCTATGGTGGTTAAGGCATTGGATCCCACGTGGGCAACTGTGCAGCTTGAGTTCTGGATCAGGCGGCTTGAGAAACACACGGAGCACACACGTGTGCGTTCCCGAAATCCTGAAAGGAGGGAGAAATGGAGAAGGGTTTGTGGCGTGACCCTTCTCCATAGGAGGGTGCTTTCTCACTTTCCTCCTCTCTGTCTCTCTCCAGTGAATGCACACACCCTGTGGCAAATTTACAAAGAAGACAGACAGACAGACAGACTGACTGACTATTCAAAGTGCTATGAATGGCCTGGCCATGGGAAGTAAGCTCTGGAAGAGAAGACTGATGAACATTCCATACGAACATCTTTCAGAGACCGCAGAGAACTTCCGAACTGCCACTGCATCATCTTTCCTGGGAGCCCACTGGCATCCTCACCTCCCACTCAACCTTCCTTCTTACTGTGTAGACAAGTGTGCACATGCCCACGGGCCCACGTGCTGCCTCGCACCCAGCCCCCCACATTATCTCGGGCAGCAGTTCTGGCTCCAAGTCATGCAACTTGGCCCATCCAGGATCCCTCAATCTCGGCATTGCTGATGTTTTGGGTCAGACTTTTTGTCGTGGGGCTGTTCTGGGCATCACAGGATTTACCACTGTCTCTGTGCTCTACCCTCTAGATGCCTGTAGCGTCCCAAAGGTTGTAACAACTGAAACCGCCTCCAGTTGTAGCCAAATGTCCCTCGGAGCAGCAGCACTCTGGGTGGGACTCGCTGGTCTGATCTGACCACTGCGCCCCCATCCCCCACTTCTCTGGCACCCCCAGCAGCTAAGGTGGCCTAGGCCCAGGGCTGGCACTGATCCTAAAGCAGAGTTTGCCTCCTGACAAACAGGACCGACATGCCTGTGCTGCTGCCGTCCCTGGTCTCAAATGTAGTGACTCCCACAGAAACCAGAGGGGACAAGTGAACAAAGTCAGAGGCACTGGCTGGACAGAAGAAGACCTCTGCCCATGAGCCAGGCCTGGCTGGGGCTGAGTGGGGTTGCACTGCCGCACACCCAGACCTTGCTGGGTAGTGTGCGCGCGCGCGCGTGTGTGTGTGGGGGGGGTGCATCTGTATCTCTCTCTTTCATAGAAGAAATAAATAAACATAAATCTTTTTTTTTCCCCTAGAGGGAAGATGCGCTGTCTACAGAGAGAGACAGGGAAAGTGAGAAAGCACTTCAGTGGGGCACGGTCACGGTGCAGTCCCTTCTCCATCTCTCCTCCTTTCTGCGGTTTTGGGCACACATGCGTAAGCGTCCAGTGTGTTTCTCAAGCCTCTGGGTCTGGGACTCGAACTATGCAGTCAGGCAGAGGGGATCCAGCTGCTTCAATCACCAGGCCTTGAAGCCAGACCCAAATAAATAAATGTAAAAAAAAAAAAATCTAGACATTAAACACTACAACTAAAGTCTAAGAGACAACTCAAGAGCTCCCTGAAAAGGTCGCGCATTTGATCTGAGGGAGGCCTGCAGAACGAGCTGGAAAGGAGGAGAGCAGAGATTCTCATCTCTTGGTCCACGCTTTCCCATGTAAATTAGGTGCTCAGC